GGGGACGGGACGAGCTGAGGGCACAGTGGAGGCAGGGTTTTTTTTTTAGTGGCAGAGCTGAGCATCATCCGCCAGCCTCGGTCCTCTCCACTCCTGCCGTCACCCTGCACCATCTTCTGAATCTCTTCCAGCTTCTGCAGAAAGGTGGGGCAAAAGCCTTCACACTGTGGCCTCCTTCACTGCCCAGTCCCAACTCCTTCCCGTCCCATGGGGGGGAACGAGCTCCCCTGGAGATGCTCTGTATTCATGTTCTCTGTAGGTGGTGGCAAAAGAGGAGGTAGTGAGAAGAAGACAGCGTCTCTTGCCTGGATTTCGTGTCCTCCCATGCCACCTGCTGGATCAGAGTCCAGAGCTGCCCGCCAGACTCCGTCCCCTTTAGATGGCACGTGTGTTGTGCTGCGGTGGGAACAAACCATCCTGCCAGTTTGTGGTCACCAAATGGGGCAAGTCCAACCCAGCAGGACACACAGGCAAGACAGAACCACGTGAGGGCTCAACCTAGTCTCCTCCACCCTCAGATTTTCTGCATGTCCCAGGAGAAAGATATCCCAGTGCACATACCTAAGCAAAGCTGAATATGCCCCAAACAGTCAGGTGTCAGCAGTACTGAAAAGTGATACAGAAACCCCTGGTCTTTGATTCTTACTTGTTTTTCATCAAGTTTTTACACAAGCTGAAGAATTACTTCTGTTTGCACTCGCCTTTCCGTGAAGGGCTTGGTAACACTCTCAAATTAAAGGAGAAAAAGGTAAGGAGAGGTATTAGGCCACAGTGTAACTGCTACATGGCGCAGGTAAGCCCAGTTTAGCTGAGCTGAAATGGGCCAGCCTGGGTCAAGCAGCCAGGGCTGGCCTGGGGCTGTGCAGCCTTCCTCTTGCAGACACTGAACGTTTCAGCAAAAACATGCTGTGGATATTCTCCTTACCCAGCTTGCTGTGGTTGGCTTGCTGGAGAGGGAGTGGATGGCAAACTCATTCCCACAGAGCTGGAGCTGCGGTGGCAGAGCTGGGACTGGGTGTTCAGCAGCACCTCTTTCACTTGGTTCCACTTTTCTCGGAGGACATCTGTATTCAGCTGTGTCTTGGATGATTTTCCCCTCCTCTTGCACCCCATTCCTTCAGCTTTTCTCCCTACCACGCAGGAACTGGTGAAGCTTTAAAAACTCCAGAGATGTGACGTTGAAGAAGTTGGTCTTCAAAAAAAGTTCTCCCAAGTTGTTCTCCTAGAAGTTGTTCTCCTAAAAACACTCGGGAAATAGTTTGCTGGCAGCAAAATTGCTTGTATTTCATAACGCACAAATGAGGCTTGTTTCAAGCTTCAATCTTGCCAAGATATCCCTCAACAACTCCATCTCCTGGGAACTTTTGCTGAAAAGCCAGCAGCAGCAGTGCAGCTACATCCCGGATACCTTTGGACCCTCCCCAAGCTGGACCCCAAGGATAAAACACAGAATGTTATTCGAGATATGGTCCCAAAATTCAGATGTTAATCAAAATTAGCCAGCCTCTGGGATTGGCATGCATCATTCTCCCCCAGAGGGGGAATTTTTGAGTAAGCTGTCAAAGTATTTCCTAAGTAAGACCACAGAAAGCCCACAGATGCAATCAGGGCAAAGACTTCCCTGATGCAGGAAGATGTTGGTCTAAGTTTCCTTTGAAGACGTGGTTGTCTCACGTTGCCTGTGCCACAGCATCTTCAGCTTCTGCAGTTGACTCCACTCGTGTCCTAATTAGGATGAGGTTTTACTGTTGGTGTGATGCACCTGGCTGTTACTCTGTGATGGTCTTGAGGATAGTAAAGGTGAAGCCAAGGTGGTGGTAGGCGCTTTGGTGGCTCTCCATGAGGAAGCCATGATGTGGTCCATAACTCAAGCCACCTTGGGCTCTCACAGCAGGCTGTGCTGCTCCGCTGGGGTCTCTCTGAAGAAAAATCCCAAACCTTTTCCTCCCCCCCAGACCATCTTCTACCACAGAAGGACCACTGCTGGGGCTGGTGCAGTCCCTGGCTGGTCTGCAGGGAACGGCTGGCGTTGCAGGCTGAGTTGTGTGGTGGCTCCCGTGAGTCCTGCCGTCCCACACTGGGTCACAAGCTGGGTGACGAGCGCTTTGCATGACCATCCAGCCGTGACATCCCCACCTCTTCTGATTTGAATGCTCCTCTGGTAAGTGTAAAGTCCCCGTAACTGCTCCCTTCACCCCAGCAAACTGTTGCTTATGGCAAAGAATTTGCCTTCGAGGTAAACGTCTTTGCTTTAAAAGCCAGAGGTTTGCACAGGACAGTTATTATTCTTGTACATCACAGAAAATGTGGTTTTAATGGAAAAAAGCTATGAAACAGGCCAAGATCCCTCAAAATCTCGAGTGGGTGTTCTGTGACACCAGTCACAGCAAATCTTAATACACCCAAGAAGAGACCTGCGATAGATCACACCCACTGGATTGCCAGGAATCCCTTGTTCACTTACATGAGATCTGCACTAATGAGATCCTCCTCAATCCAACAGTCACCAAGCGATCATACTGACTTCTTTTTAAAATAGAAGCAGGCTGTTGGATTCTACTAAGCAGCACCATTTTTGGGTAGTGCCATCAAACCCCCGAGGTGTGGCAGAAGACCTGCCCCCAACAGGGCTTCTCTGTGGGGTCAGCCACTTGCGGAATAGAGAACCAGAAATGAAAGTCACTGACACGCACTTCTGCTTCCCCTCAGCCCAGCTTTATACCACACAGCCCAAGAAGCATCAGCTGGAGCTCTCGCCCTTGAAGTGGACACATCCTGCCCATCCACTCCTTTTCCTCTCACCTGGCTTTAAGATCAGACCCAGTGTCCCCAAGGTCACTTTATCCTTTTTTTTTTTTTTTTTAAAAAAACTTTGTGCCATCCCTTCAGAGCAACTCAGGAGCCTGTTGCCAGGCAGATCCCTCATAAACCTTTAATTCTTCTCTTCTTTTTTTTGATGGGAAAGTGTTCCTGCACCTTCTCAGCAGGATAAAAAACTGCACCTGAGCACAGTCCCACCACCCTCCAGATCCACCCACAACCCAGCAGCCATCAGAGCCCACAAAATCAGCTTGGGTTGTCATAAGACTCTGAAGAAACATTTTAAGGACTCCACTGAAATCTTCCAATTTTATTTAGATAAAAATCCTGTGCAATTCAGAGCACTGAAGAGTTACAATTGTTTTTTAATCAATAATGCAGACATTTATAGCTATGTGCTCAAAAAAAAAGCCTAGCTTGCATACTGCTTTGGGTAAATGATATTTTAATGATAAGCTTTATTAAAGAAGGAATTCTGCAATGAAGACAATTGCTTTTCATCATATCCGCAAGTGAGATCTGAAGAAAGGACAGAAGCTCAGGACGATTTTGACTTGCAATGCAGAATTCTTCAGACCTGCATGGGGGAAAGGAGGTTGACATCAGTCACTCTGTTCACACCTTCAACTGTAATTATTTTAGGAAAAAAAGTGTTTTCCACAAGGGAACTCCAACTGCAGAGTCGGAGACTCCAGACTCTAGTGAAGTCACTAGTGTCCCACCTCCAACCAAGCTTGACATCCCCCACCATCGGTGACCTTCACAACAACATCCCACCAAAGCCACTGCTCGCCATGCTGCCACGTGGGCACAGCACAGCCCAGACCCTGCCCTCAGGCCAGGTTTCCGACCCCGCTGCCCAAAAGCAAGTGACAAACCAGAAGAGTGGCTCTATATAATTTTTCAGAGCTCTATTACCTAGAAATGTCTGTACTGTATCAAATCACAGGTCCCTTTACCTCAGCATCCCATCTCAAGCAGCAGTTAGAAATAAACACTTAAGCACTTACAGCATCCCTTCTAAATATCCTTCCAATCCAACCATTTTTGGCTCTGGGGGATCTCTTGAGCCTTTCCCCAGCCCCAATATCACACCTCAGCTTTTCTGCTGCAAATCAAGAGTGTATCTTCTTCTGTTGTCCCCCTACTAGAAAGATGGTCAACTGACCTCCATTTTCTCTTGCCCCTGGAAGGCTAACATCCTTCCTAGCCTTTGCTGCTCTACAGCAAGGGCAGGCTGGAGAGCTTTTGAGGGACAGCAGCATTAGACAGTGACAAGTGAAGGACTGGGATCCATCTACATCTTCCCAAGAAGAAATGCCCAAAGGAGTTTTTCTGATTTACAAAGTTCGTTTGACTCATTATTCTGTCTATCTAAAAGCCATCGGTAACATTTTTCTGGTCCAACGTGGAAGGCATTTCAAGTGAAGTCTTGCCAGGGCATGTCCTGGGCACAGTTAATAATTACCCAGCCTCTACCGGGGTATGTAACAAAGGCGTTTCAACCAGCATTGTAACTACATCAGCTAGGCCATGTATTTTCAGTTTTCTTTTCCCTTTCAAGGGTTTAACTAGTATTTACCCGATTGCTAAATCCAGATCAGTTATGCCCAGATAGTTTGAAGAACCCGGAGCACTCAGACTCTGAGACACCGGTGAACCAAGACTGCTTCTGGTCTGGCAGCAAGGCACTGATATGTGCCTCATAAATCCCACATTATCGAGCCGACACACTGCCTGCTACAGGGTTAACCAGCCTGCCTCCCCCCAAGTCATGGGGATTTCCAGGTATGCCACTTCCTCCTCACCAGACAGAAGACAGCACCACAGGGTCTGGGGAAGCACTAGAGGACACGTGACAACTCTGAACAGTATCTGGCAGACACGCCAAAGACACGCAGGAAGTTTTGTTCCAAGGGTATCATTTGTTTTGAGCAAAGGAGACTCTTATAGGCAAAGTATGGCTGAGAACTGGCCAAAAAAGTGGATAGAAAGGGTGTGGGAACAGCCCCGCTCCCAATCAGCAGCAACAGTATAGATACGGGGGTTTTTTGGGTGGTTGCTTTTGTTCCTCAACTCTGCAAACTACAGACTTCCCCCTACAGAAAGCAGTCCATGTTGCCCTTATAAGTACAGCATGGAGCATCAGCGTAACTCACCAGGATCATCCCAGTCACAGCTTAGAAGTCTGCATCTGCAACAAGAAGGGGAGAGCGTTAGGCTTCGGGGCAAACGGCACCCCCTCTCACCCGTCACCACAGGCCCACCCCTCCTGGAAACAGCCCCAGTGCAGTAACCAGAGAGCTGCCCCTTGCCTGGCTGTCTGCTCGCTGCAGCAGGCTGGGTCATCACGATTGGTCCCCACCGCTATACCCTTCTTTATATTAACCAAAAATCACTGCATGACCCATTTCTTTCTAGGCAAGGTCACCTAGAAAGAGATCAGAGTGCTCCACTAAGAGTCGTCAGACACAGCGTAAGCCAAATACCTACAGATAATACCAAGGCAAGTCTTCCCTGTCTGCTACTAACGAACCCTTTCACAAGTACGTATACACAGCCTTTTCAGCAGCCCAGCTGAAACCAGGTTAGTTTTCCAAGACCTTCAAAAGCCACCCCATGGATTTTGAAGAGAAGGGAAACAGAGACACTGGGCTATAAATTAATGAGCTCTGGCTTCTGCACATGAACAGCGGCAAAGCTTGAAGAGGAAGGCACACGATACCCCATCGGAACGACTGCGGCTCTCTGAAGGTAGAATGGGCCACCCTGCAAACGTAGACGTCGCCCTTCCTGGGGGTGAACGGCGCATACACCAGGCGTTGGAAATACCACTTGTCGTTGAAGGACATGTCCGTGTACTTCACATCACTCATGGGCTCCCCGTTCTTGAGAAGGGAGATCTCGATCTTTGGAGGGTGGAAACCACTCACGAAGCAGTTGAGGACGTTTTCCTCCCCGTCTGCGACACGCTTGCGGGAATACACCTCCACCTTCGGTGCCTCTGGAGAGGGGGGGTAAAGGGGGTAGCGAGAAGCAGGGCTGCAGCGGGCACCGCCCCAG